TTTTTTTTTTTCTAGGCACTACGGGTTAGTGTTGGGTTTGAACTTGAAATTGAATTTCGGGTCCTACAGGCCTAACCCGAAATTGACCCGTTTTGTTTGTGTCAATTTCGAGTCGACCTAATTCCGGCCCGCACTTAATTTTTCTCAACCCTAACCCGTAATTTCGTGTCGATTTCAATTCGTGTTGTCGTGTCATGATCCGTATTACCGTCCCTATGCAAAGTACAAGAATGCATTGGGAAAAGTCACGGGTTTGTATTGATAAAGTTAATCGGTTTGGGATTTCTCTTCTTGTGTTTGCATATACAATCCAATTCTCAAACTTATAAATAAGAATCTTTTACATAATTAAATGCTATCTTGCTTATAAGTTTATAACATGTGAATTTATAAAGGGAATATTTAAAAAAGAAAATTTGATATTCATTTCTTTTAACCGGAAATGAAGATCGAAAAGTGTTCAAGAATAGGTATTCTCGTTGAGTTTGAGTCCACCAATTTACTATTTCTAATTTGACAAATTAAAAGTAAACAAATAATTAAATGAGAAAGGCGTCACCCTCTCGCTCAATCCCTTGCTTCTTTTCTTACTTTTAATTTCGTTTAAATGAAAACATTAGAAGTGATTTCATTAAAAAGTAATAAAATTAAGAGTAAGATATATTCCTCTTATTTCTTACACTTAAAAAATAATATTGTGGATTTTTTTTTTTGGTTATAAATTTATTCTTCTGAACTTACAATTTGATAATTATTTAAATAAAACTAATTTTAACGCATGATAAGATTCAACGAAATCCTCTCCCAATCCCATCCGGTCTTAGATCTCTCCGATCCTATCAAGTCTATCCTAACCAATCTGATGTGCCAAACAAGACCTCAATGTTTTCACATATGCAATCTCTCTAAGATACTTTTCTTTTTGATAAACTTATAACAATAATTATTGTTTCTTATCATCCTAGAATATAAAAGATATCCTACCAAAATATTAATGACATAAATGATAAATTTAAAAGTAATGGCAGAAATAAGATACTATTATCTAGTGACATAGGAATTTCACCCTTCTATAGCTTGCCCCATCTCCTTACGCTATCCAAGTAAACGCTTTGACTATTTAGTTATTTCTATTTCCTTGTGCAGTTATCATTTCCACACATTGAAAAAAAAAAAAAAAATTGAATAACAAGAAAATTCACCGAAATCATTGTAAAATAAATGGTGACAACACTGCCAATAAATTGAGAAACTTTGTAACATTAAAAAATAAAATTTGAGAAACTTTGTATGTGCCGACCAAAGTAGAACTTAGGCATTAAGAGCAACGCTACTGATACAGAATACATGCATCACACCATATAAAAGGAAAACAAAATTCCAATAAACGATTTAGTACTCCAACTAAAGCATACTTTGCACTAAAAAACATAGAGTAGAACAACTACCAAAATCGGTGTTTAGGACGACTCAACATCTGAATCTTCTAATCCTTGAATATAGAGTTCAAATTCATCAAGACTCCATCTGCAGATCAATTGCATTCGAAAAGTAGCCATTTTGATCCCCAATAATCGCTGCATAACACGGTCAAATAACATTCTTATGCGAATATTTTTTTGAAATAATCGTATTCAAAAGCAGGAAAAAGAAAAACGAATTCCAAAGTCAAGCGCAATAACATAGGCATAGTGTCATACCAGTATGCGAGAAGCCTCGGGTGACAACGGCTTCCCCTCTTCACAAACAACATAGTCTGAAACTAGCTCCACAGTTCCTGTACAGCAAGAGATGAAATATAGTAAAACTTATATCATTTGAATATAAGGGGCTTGCAAACAGAGGAAAGAAAATACCAACCCTTATTCAAACGAACGGGCATCCCTTGTTTACGTAAGAAGGGCTCCATCTCATGGGTAAACTGTTCCAAAGGGCCTTCTTTTAGCTCCACCTAAAAGATTCAAAAACAAGTTTAGTAGATGATGGCAGAAAAAATGAAAAGAATCATGAATGAAACTGTAAATTCGAAACCAGACTTAGATGTCAGCTTGAACCAAATATGTTATTTTGGTTTGTTGGTAATTAGTAAGAAAGAAGGGATACCTTTTCCGAGGCAACGCTTCCTGTTCTCGCAAAATCATAGTCTTCATATTGATTAAACAACCTGCAAAATTATGCCAATACAAACAATCTGAGATTAATAAAACAAAGTAAATTATAAAGCTAGGAGAAAAAAATTATTCTTTTCATATTATCTAGATACTTAAAAGTTGTGCACAGTTTCAATACAGATATGTTAAATCCCCAATCAAGAATATGCTTCGGGTTGAGAAGAAGATAAATACAATCTAAATTTACAATTTCTTCACAACTTCTACAACAATCTCTTTGCAAATATAAGAGCAGAAAATGTGCAACAAAATCCAATAAATTATGATAAGAGCCAGAAAACAAGAACACTAAAATTCTCGTGCCAACCTCAGCATATCATTGATTAAAAAGTTTAATGGGCCTTCTTGGCCAGAAATAGATTAGCCACAATTTACATATGCTTAATTACTAATCCAATGCCAAACAATTATGAAACTTTCCCTTTCACCGTAATCTTCTGGGGCAGCAGGGGAGGAAATACAGTTAGAGGACATATAGAGAAAATGTTTTGCTTACCTTTCAACCTCTTCTTTTGGCATATTGGTAAAGAAAAGCCCAGAATCCCCACGCAGAAGCTAAGAAAATAAACAGACAAGTATGAGCAAAAAGCATTTAGTGCCAAAACCTTCAAGTAGATTCCAAAGTACAGGCTCCTAAGAAATACTTACCTTAGAAACTTTGTAAAGACTGGGTTTGATTTCATCAGCAGCAGATCGACCTAAAGAAACTTGCATAACTTTGTTTGACCCAAGGAAAAATCTAGCAAAATTATAAAAAACAATTAAGTCAGATATATACAGTCCACTTGGGGTAAGCTTTAAGGATGGGGAATTAGAAGTGAAGATCGTAAAACCTCGACCTTGTGTTTCAAACCCTAAAAATAATGTCCAAGTGAATCATGGATATTCAAATGGCAATACAAAGAAACACTTAGGGTGCGTTTGGTTGCAGTGGGAGAATGGTAATAGTAATGGGAATAAGGCTTCCATCTTGTGATACTGCTCAAAAGATAACAAGTGATATAAGGCTTCCACCTTTCTATTTTCAAGAAATACCTCATAATAAAAGGGTTGCCCTGAAACTAGCGCAGAAATATTAAGCAACACATAATGCATTGGTTGAAATTAAAAATGCATGCATGACATAGAGGTTTTAATTTCCCAGCTTCATTATGAAGTATAACGCATGTCCTCAAAGACAAGCAAGCTAATAAAGATCTAGTGTGAAGCATATAAGGCCTTAACAGTCTAAGATTTGTTCCCAGTTTAGTGGAAAAAATGCAACCTTTGAATTCCAATACACAGAAGACAAAGACAGGTAAACATAATAAATAATGATCATCAGTTAAATATTTTTTCCCAACTGAGCACAATTATCGCCAAGCTCAGTCAATCTAACTTAGAAACTTCAACATGTCAATATCAGTATCCCTTCTTTTCTCCCTTTACTCATGCCATACTAAAAAGAGCAAAAAAAAAAAAAAAAAAAAAACAAACTTTTTATTTATTTTCCCTCTAAAGCAAAAAAATACAAAAAAATAAAAAAAAATCTTCAGGGGTTGAAATTACCTGCTGGTAGCTTTGAGCTGCTCTCTAAACTCCTTGAATTTAAGGTTTCTCATGTTCTCAAAAGAGAAGACATATATCGAACTGTAATCCTCCGCGGCTTGCCTTATTGCATTTACAATAGCCTCCTTATGTCCCCTTCCTTTCTTCTTTGTCTTTGATAAGGTAACTGCATTATACACCAACAAATCATTTACAATACCACGTCAAGTAAAAACATGTTTCTAATCAATTACAAAAAAATTGATGTTCAATAACATTGAGAGATCGAAACTTTAATTCTAATCATCTAGAATACGAATTTGCAAGTCCATTCATCTAACAAAAACCAGCTCAAGACATTTGTTCATTTGCACCTAAACTCAAAAAAAATTTAAACGTTACAACTTTATTTTAGTTCACGTTCTTTTGAGTTTGAACTTGAATGTTAACTTGAGTTTAGAGTTAAAATCAAAGTTCAAATTTCCTCTTAAACTCAAGTTCTTAAACTCAAACTCAAGTTAATAAACAATATTTTTTATATTCTTAAAAATGCTATAATTTTTTTCGTTTTAATTCCGATTGAGATGATTTTTTTTTATGAGTTTACAACGAAAAGAGAAATAAAACCTTATCTATATACTCTATTAAAATTTCCTATCATATGAGTTTTTTTTTTAAATATTATTTAAATACAAACTCAAATTTTAACTCATTTAAACACAGATTCAAAAAAATTCTCATATTAAACTATAACTCAACTCAAATGTAAAAAATCAAACACAAACTCAAGTCACAACTTTATCTTAAGTTATAATTTAAATTTAACTCAAAATCTACACTTAAATCATACAAGCCTGTACTATCTACTTACTATTCTTTGGAGCAAAAAAAAAAGTGTCATTTGGGTCAATAAAAAGTCAAGAAAATGTGGAGGGAAAAAAGCCCCTTAGTAGGGAAAAAGGACTTCACTCTATGCTCTTAAGTTCAAAACCGAGCCGTCTTTAACATTTTCAACTTAACTATTTTTCCATTGTTAAATGATTATCCGTGACCCAAATGGAGCCCTAAAATCACATCCCCAAGTACACTAACCTTAGTTAATTATGTATCAGAAAAATAGTCTGCCAATCAAAAACCCAAAACCAAAAAAAAAAAAAAAGAAAAGAAAAGAAAAAAGAAAGAAGCAGAAAATCTAAAATCGAAAAGAAGAAAATCCGAGTAAAAGCTAAAAAGAAAATCATCCCATAAGCTCAGTTGGGCTCCATTTTGGGTTCCTATCTGCGTCCTTTCATTTCATGAACACAGTATTAGTTTCTCTTCTTTTTCCTAGATTTTCCACAAGCAAGGACATTTACAATCCTAAATAAACGAAAGAAGAAGAAGAGGGAGAAGAAGAAGAAGAAGAAGAAGA